GAGGTGAGTTTGCTTGGCGTGCTGTTTCATCGTAAGTAACTGGTGAACACTCGGAAGAACGAAAGGATCTGCTCATGATCTGACTTACCACGCCACCGTGAGAGATGAGACCGCAGAGGTGCAGTCGGCCGTTCCCAGCAGCAGCACTCTGGAAGGTCTTCTTGATGACATCGTTTTGGGCCAGCTCGCCGTTCTTGATGGTCTGGTCGATTCGAACAACGTCTTGCCAGACAACACGACCAGCGCCAATGTTCAAATGTCCAACCTCAGAGTTACCCATGAGGCCCTCGGGAAGGCCTACCGCCAGCGATGAGGCCTCGAGCTCAGTGTAACCCTTGGAGTCCTTGTAGAGAGCGTCCATAACAGGGGTCTTGGCGTTGGTGATGGCATCGCCGTTCTTGGGGCTGTCGGTGGAGGGAATGCCCCAACCGTCAATGACGACTGTAAGAAGGTAATATGATTAGCTAGGTCTAGATATAGAAGAATAAAGCACGAGACAAGAATCCAATCTAGCCTCCACTTGTCATATCCGTCAATTCATGAACCACTGGAGGAGTAGTTGTTGAGCGTCTCGCAGAAGGACGAGGCATTGCAAGCTATCACGATGGCGGGGCATGGAATTGTTTGACGTTGATGGAGGGGGCGGGGCATGACGACGTACTGAGGCAGGCTTTTTGGTCGGTCTTGGACATGATGGCTATTTGTTGTTTCCTTTTTTCTTGTACTGAAGCAATGAAAGAACAAAACCAAAGCAGGAGAAGAGAAGAAATAGGTCGAGGTATATAGAAGAGAGGTCTTGAGTTGAGATAAGGATAAGGATAAGACAGGACGGAGAGTAATTCGGGCCCTTGTCTTGGATTGAGTAAAATAATGATGCGTGATTTGATGGGGACTGTCGATTTTGCAGGGAAACACGTTAGTTGTGGTGGGGGTTTATGTCATGCCATTTAGTGACATGAGCCATACTGACACTGTGTAAGTACGCCTAAAAGATCGCAGATGTACTGTACAATGATGAGCACACACTGTAGTCTTTCACCTTTCCTCCCTCTCTTTCGGACCGTCCACTCAACAACAAAACGGCTCATCGGCCCAATCGATGTCTACTATTTGCCCACCACCACCATCTGCAGCGCGATAAACGTGGAATATCCATTTTAAGGGACTTGGATTTTATGCAAGGCTGAAAGGTTCCACTCGGCCTATTTCCCCGAGCTGCGCAACAGAGTTGAGAGCTCGCCTCGAATCAAAATCAAATCATTGTACTACGCCGCATCCACATCGATCTCGTCCGATTACCTCTCTCTTTCTTCACCCTTTTCTAGTCGAGCGGTCAAACTGGAACCGAGTCGTATCATAAAATCGACAGACCATGTCTCCGTCATCCACATCAGCATCAGCATCGGCGTCGGCACCTGGCCCACACCCACTGGCTCTGCCGCCTACTCTCTCTCCCGATACTCTCGACGCCCTATCCGAGCTCTCCCTCGTGCTCGCACGCGTCCGCGCCGGCATTCAATCATCAGCTGGGATTACCACCGAACCTGCGCCTGGAACCACGGGAAACAACGCGCCTGGACCTACACTGTCTTTCAAGGATGTGCCAGGAGCAACTGACGGGCTAAAGCATAAGCTGCAACGAGCTCGTGCACAAGTTCGCGAATTGCCCGATATGGACCGGTCCATCGCTGAACAGAACGACGAGATTCGCGAGCTTGAGACACGCATTGAAAACCAGCGTGCTCTTCTTCAACGATTGAGAGATGAAGCTACGGGACGAGATCGGAAGGACGACATCAGCGCTGGTGACAAAATGGAGTCATGATACACGAATAGTGTCGAATTATTATGGGTCGGTCATCCATGGCATTTAACGTCAATGCCTTGGCTTATCAGCACGGTGTTCTGGAGTCTCAAGGTTAAATAAATCACATCTATCATGCTATTATATTATGATCCTCTTGTTATCCATCGTATATTGGTATGGTACAAAGCGTACTCAAGCTCAAGAATCTATCATCATTACTGCTACTTTCGGGGAATATTGAGCTTCTTCAAAGCTTCTTCCACACTGACGCCAGGCTGGCCGGGCACAACGCTTCTCCAAAGATCATCGCCGAGTCTCTCGTTTTCTGACAGAGTGGTCCAATTGGGACTGTGACCGGCCTTGAGCCACTTGAAGTCGTCTACCTGGTCCCACTGATTCTCATCTAGCTCTTCTGTTTCGGTCCTCTGTTTTTGGTTAGCTGGAAACACATTAGATGAGTTGCGAACAAGTCTTACGTATGGTGTAGGTAGCGGTGCGAATCGCATGCCAGAGCAATCCTCAATGATGGGATGGCTTCCGCAATGCAAGTAGATATCAACATTGCTGCACTCGTGAATTCGAACCTGTCTGGCCACAACCACTATAATACTATCGGACACTCCTGTGATGTGGACCGCGCCGTTAACACGACCCCCAACGATGAGGCTCTTGGACACGTTCTTGATAGCGAGACCAGGAAATGCTGATCCCTCAGTTGTTGGGATGGACATGTCGATAATACAGCCTTCGAGATCAGTAAGACTACCAGAAGAGGTTGCGCGTGACGCTGATGATGGCAGGATTATGTGCAAGTTTGAGTGGTTCGAGATGCCAATGTTCTTTGCTGCCGAGAAGCTGGGTTTTCGAATTGACGAGGGGCTCGGTCTTTTCATCTCCTCGTTGTAGTTCTTGTATGCCTCTTTGGACGGTAGTTCGCTGAGTGTATCCTCCTTGTTTGTAGGCAGAGAATTGGCTATGCCAGTGATAATAGCTGCGTCGTGCTTGGCCCGAGAATGGCTTCCAGGGTTAAGACGAGGATCGTTCTCGGGAGCACCCATATCAACATGATTAGTCTTTGCGCGGCGGAATTGAAATTTCGACTTGGGCGCAATCCTAGTTATAGTCTCGTTCAACTTGTCTTGTAGAGTTTTGATAGTCTACGCAGCATATAGATGTCAGTCAAAAAGGCTTTGGTGGATGAAACCAGCGGTCTGACCTCTGAGTATTGTTTTCGATCATAGGAAGGAGTATAATCTGCAGCATCCGCCACCTCGTTCTGTAGCTTTGCGATGCTAGCCAAGATGTGATCAATGGCCTCCTGGCGCTCACCGCCAACACTGGCAATAGACGGTAACCCATCGATGAGGTCTTGAAGAACTGCATAGCATAGAAGTTAGGCATATGAGATAACATGTCAATCGCTAGATTCAATTCTTACCCGTTACACTTTTCAAGAAGTGATGGTAGAATCGCTGTTTGGGATCCATGATAGCGGGCTGAAGAATGACCTGATGGGTGGCAGCCCAAGGGTCGTGGGTGTGAGTTGCAGTTTGAACCTGTGTTTCCATTGCGGATCAAGTTAGTATAAGTCACTTGTTTACTAAATTTCCCACTTTTCAAAGCTTGTCTGAGAAAGGCATAGAAGTGGTTTGATAGGGATAAGGGAACATTGCGGTGGTTATATACTAGCAATGATGTACTTGAGCAGGATCATAGAAGGGAAACACTAAACCGAGAATGTCCTCTCCAAAACTGAAGATGTATACACATGGGGGAGAGTGTCAATCACTTACCAGGAAGTGAAATAAGCCGCAGCAGGTGATGCAGCGATGCGCCTCTAGCTTCTCCTACCCCGGGATAATGTGGTGCTACCCCTCGTTTCCGCACGACTTTGATGGTGCTTCTTCAGCTTGCAGGGTCACAATCATGAATCGTAGTCGGTCCAGTAGCCGGCGGTGACGTCAATGCCACCTGATGAGACAGACGAGGATGGGAAGATGCTGTTAAAGGTGGTGGTAGTGAGACAGGTGGAGTGTGTGAGAATGTATGCGGAATGATTAGGTGGGTTCGGTTAAGACGCTGGCGGGTGTCACAGAGCGTTGGATAAAGAAGAAGGTGTAGAGCGTGGCACCACCTTTGATAAAATATATGAGATGTCTTTCTGAGTTTCGTTGAGTTGGAAGCTGTAGTGGAGAGAAGCTGGAAAGGGTTCTGGACCCTTGGCTAGGAGGTAGACCAGGTACCCAAAGTTTGTGGGGTCATGAGATGCCTAATGGATAAGAGAACTGGATAGCACCTGAACCTTGAGGATGTTATTATCACGACAAATGCTGGAAGTGGGCCGATCATCAAAGTCTAGAAGCCCACGATCAAGAATTCGGAGGAGGACCCTTGGATACCTCACTGACAAGGTTTTGCGCAAGGCCTTGTCAGTTTGTCACTGGCACTGAAACGACACGCTTGTCGTCATTGCTAGTTTTCGGATATCCTTCTGGACTGCCGGACCCCGCTGAAGGAAAAAAACAAGCTTGACATTTTTCAAGGGTCCGTTACTATAGACTTTCCGTACTTGTCTCAGTTGGTTTAACGCCATGCAGCGTGGGGAACGTTGCTGTGCCGCTAAGTTAGCAGTGATGGTGGTGTCTCGATGTACAGCACACAATGTTACACGATTGGGTAGTCACAACGAGTCTGGAGAGACAACTAGTGTTGATTTCGCTGGCTCTTCATGATAGTCAGTAGAATAACCAAAATTCATGCTTTCCATATACGTGGTTCACCGATAGGGGTACCACGCAGGAGGCCTCGAGGCTGGAAGGATAGAAAGGGTTCGAGATGTTCATCTTGGCAAGGATAAGTCAGCAAGGGCCGCTGATCCGGGGATGTGGGGTGCATCCTGTTTTTACGATGATGAAGTGAAACTATTGTAGCCGAGTTATATAATGGTGCCTTGATCTTGGTGTGGCTGCCACCTTTACAACGATCGTCAAACCATTGCCATGTATGCACTGCACTTCTTGATACGAGTCAGCACGCTGACGTTGATTACACTCAGTCACGATCGATTCAACAAACGACAAGGGTGACTAGCAACTGTCACTGACGAGCATAATCACTCTCCAGGTGCAATAATCCCAACAATATCACCACTCATTACTTTTCATTTACATCAAACACTTTGTATGTCTATAATTTATCTAGCCCGTCCATTATTTGCTGACGTTCTTCTCCCCCCATTAGGCAACGGTGGTATATAAGGCAATGGCATTCGCTTGGTTGGTTTTGCCTTCGTATTCAATGCCCTCCACATCTCCCAGATATTTGCCCGGCGAGCCGGCAACATGCTGTATTGTAGACTATACAAATTCTTTCGGTTGATAGGTGGCACAAACTTGCCTGTGAGGAGACAGAAGAAGACTTTGGGCGAGAGGTAATGTTTTCGGATGCGGTTTGCCATCTGGAAGTATTGGTTGAACATGATTCGGAATGTCAAGGGAATTGACTAATGACCAAGTTAGTGTTGCTGCCGTGTAATTTCAGGAGTAGATTTGCCAACCTTGAGGTAGATGACCGACGTAGGGGGCGGCCCCTCAGTGTTACTTATGCCATCACGTCTATAGTCGTGGGTATCTCGAAGCTCAAATCGGATACCACCAGGAAGTCGCCTCGGGTCTTTGATTCTCAACATGAGTGCGAATAATGGAAAGTGATTTAGACATGAGAGGAGAGTATCAAATCCGGCCTTAAGAGAGATGATAGCCATCCTCGCAATGGCAAAATTGAGATAGAAGACGGCAACCGTCGGCAGAAGGAAGAAGAGTAGTGTGAACAGAATGGTGCCAACAAGGAGTTGATCCAGGTCATAATCGCAAGAATCGATACGGTTGCGAAGAACGTTGTGCTTCTTACCGCGGAAGAGATGAAAGAGGGACTGGAGAATTGTGAGCTGCCAGTGATATATCCTCCCAGATGCTAGATAGAACGAGTAAATGTGAATGGTTAGAGTCGAAAGCATGTCAGAAAACATGGCAATTGGCATACTAGCGCCAGCGAACGATGAAAATCCTATAAACCACACCATCTGGGGCAATGCTGGAGTCAGAGTCTCGATGCAGCCTGGAAATTGTTAGCAGACTGCAACCAATCGTTGTTTCGTGAATAAAATACTTACTGGACCAGTAATCAATGACCCAGAGGAACAAATCTCCCAAGAAAGCTGCCAACTCGCCGTTAAGCTTGAGACCAGCAGGCCAGCCCATCAACCATGAAATGCTGCTTTGAAGTGCGTCAACTGTATAAGTACGCAGCAGATCACCAATCTGTGCGGCAACCCAATCTGCGTTCTCGATGATATATGAGCCAAGAGCAATGCCTATGATGACATCATTGGCGACGAGCCACAAACTGTTGTAAAAGCGGATGTAGTCCGGATGGCTTGTCGTAACACTGGCCCAATTGTTCTTTCGTTGCCGCAAGGTCATGTACTGCATCGGCCAGTAGCAAAACTGTTGGAGTCGTATCTCAACTTGCTGTGCTGTGGCCGATATGTCCTTCAGAGCCGCGGCGCCGGGTTTAACCCTGAACTCGAGTAGCAAGAGCAACATCTCTGCCATTATGCGATGGCCCATGAGAACCAGTACAAAGGTCTTGCGTATCGTGGGGAACAGATACAGCGTGAACCATGTCCAAAGTTGCAGAATAACATAATTTCTCATCGTCGAGGCTGTCTCGACCACTCTCTCAGACACACTAAGGCTGCGTCGCGGTCTTGACCCCAATCGTCCCACATTCTTTTGCAATGTCTTCTCCAGTTCCCAGGACCAATTTATCTGGTTGATGATTTTGGGCAGCGCTCTGTCGCGCGCAGAGGGGACTCGCTTGAAAATGGTATGCTGCTTGAGCTTTTCAACTAGTTTGCGTCTCTCTTCCTTCACTTGACGCTCTCGTGTCTCCTGCTCTCCTTCTGAAGCTACTGTGTCGCCCAACAGAGAACCATCATGGCCCAGCGCGAGGGCAATGGGATTCAGTGATACGTATTGCATTCCCTGAGGCTGAGGACGATCGTAGAAGATGAGCTGTACGCTGATGGCCTTGGCGCATGTGATTTTTGGTTCTCGGGGGTCCGAGTTCGTTGTTGCGCAAAACCAGGAAGGGTCTGCTGCTTCCATATCGGCAGCATTTGAAAGCCCAAGGACATGCATTGAGCTGTGACCGCACATTTCGGTGATTTGGCTATTTGGGTGAAGCTCGCTGCGGAAGAAGGTACCGGCTTTGAGATGGAATTCGGTATTCCGTGCCTGTTAGCGTCAGTATTGTGTTCGTGGTGACTCGCAATGCGCCAAACTAACATCAACATCTTCGAGGATGGCGACAACAAATACGTCGAGTACGGAATTGCGCCATCCCACCACAACCCCGGGGCGATCAGACCTGCGAATGTCCGTCGGCCAGAACACTCTCATCAAGCCATCATGTTCTATCATGACAAGCAACTATTTCGACCGGAGCGATGTAATTAAAAAGAACCACGCCTTCTAAGTTGCTCCCGCGCCGAGACACCGGCTCCTATTCGTCGTGGATGCTGGAGCCATCTTGTTAGCCATTGTCAGCGGCGTCGGATGTTGCAATCGAGCGTACCAGATTCGTTTCTTTTCTGGCTAGTAAGACGGTCGGTGCGCAAATGGCGAGGAAGAGGACAGAGAGTGCAGCAAATGCTTTTGTTGCGCGCGTCTACAGGGAAGTTGGCAGTTAGTTTTATGCACTGCACTGCCCAGTTTGCGACTGGAACGAGGGGCTTTGTCCGGTTTTACTTACGACGACACCGTTTTCCCAGGCGAAAATAGCAAGTTCATAGAGACGAGTAACCAGATCCCAACGGGCAGTGATGTAGCCAGCGACGAAGATGCCGAGGGTCAGAATAGAAAAGGGGTGCATAGAAGCGCTATTCCTCGTGGCAGTACATGCCGTCCTCTGGTTGAAAGCTTGGAGGATATAAGGTCTATGCCAAGCTGCGGTAGTGGGTTTGCTGGCGGGATGAAGCGAAGGACAGACAGACAGATGCTTGCTTGTTTGCTTGACCGCGGGTTGACCGTGAGGGTAATCGAATAAGTCGACAATGTTCAGTATAATTGCTGGGAATTATTCGGTGACTTGAATGAGTGAACAGAAGCTACAGTCAAGTTCTAGAAGGGAATTGGAATTGGAATTGCCAGCTCAATGTTAAGAAATTGAGTTGATTGGTTCCCCCCTGCGTGTCGTTCGTTCCCTTAGCTGGAGAGCAACATCAAACTTGAGCTAACAGTGGACCACCTGGTTGTTTCAAGATCACGTGTAAGCGGTCTGATTCCGCAGTTTGAAAGGTTATGATGACGAAGACCAGAAAGTAACATGATGAGTGAGAATGACATATTGAATGCGATGAGGAATTGTACAAGTAAAAAGAAGATAAATATGTTGATCAATGCACCGAGTGGTAAGAATCTATAAAGATCAAATCTGAGATTCTTGTTCATCCAAGGATGCTTCGGCAAAAGGCTCCAACCTCTCTGTCTGCAGTCACCGGAACGCCATGCTCGCCAGCATATGATGCATATTATTCTATACATGTTAGTTAGCCAAAATGCAATTAGTATCAGAAACAACCTACTTTTCACCCCGAGATGTTTCAAATCGTTCTCTTTATTCTCCTCACGAGCCTCTTGCACCAGTTTATCCACACCTCTATCCTTCAGTGCAACCTGTGGCCATCATCAGCAAATCAACTCTCGAGTTTGGCCGATATCGACATACCTTGAGACATGTTTGGTATTCTTTAAACATGTCTGCACACTCCTTATTGTCCTTTTCTTGTCCTCGAAGATATTCTGAATCTTATTTAGTCTTGTGTCGCCACTGACAGGGCTTAGAAGAACATACTCTCACTGTACCATTTCAAGAAGCACGTATCATAACGCCTAAGCACATTAGTTGATCGAGCCTTGAACTGGTAGAAACAAACATACTCCTTGACTTCGTTGCATTCTGGAGCTAGTGAAGCTGACATGTCGAGTTGATCGATAGTAGTAAATGATGTAAAGTATTGGTTGAATTGAGTATGCAAGTTCTGGTCTAAGAAAGATGCCAAGTTTAATAGCCGTACTCCACTAATGTATAAGAGTTGCCTACTAACCTAAGAACTCAGTGCCAGTCACCTGAACGGCAGAAACTCGTTATAGCCTAGTCACTTCTTCAGGCTGGGAAATCTATAAGATATAATACAAGAGACAAGCTTATTATTGAGTCTCAATATTCACAATAATTGACAACTTAAACCCCGGAAAGAACGGATTGTCGCAACAGGATCAAGCTATAATTGGTTAAAGCTCCTCCCCGCTACGGGAATCTCCACAAAATTGTCCAAGCTGTTCGTCGCGTTCTGAACGCGACTCAAACTGAACACACTCAAACTTCTCTCTGTAAAGTGCAACAACATTTCGATTCCCTTTTTTCTTCTCCTTCTTTACCGAATCCGAGACTAAAAGTGTATTTGTTGAAAAGATTGCGATATTTCGAGAATGGCGCCGTCAAATGACGAGATCGAGCAAGCCCTGCTTGATGCCACTTATCAAGTCTATCAATCTGACCCAGACGACACTACCGTCAACAAAGTTCGCAAACAAACCGAAGAGAATCTCAGCCTCGAGGATGGCTTCCTATCGAGTGACGACTGGAAGAAGAAGAGCAAGGAGCTCATCAAACAGAGAGTCGTAAGTTTCACTTGCAGCCAGCGATTTTATTTTATTTCATAAACTTACACTGCTCTCAGGAAAAACTCATGGATGGGTGGAAACCAGAGGAAAAGTATGAGGCTGGATCAGATGGAGAAGATGAGGTTAGCACTGGCATGAAGCGCTCTTCTCCAGAGGCCGAGTCCCCGCAACCAAAGCCTAAGCGTCAGAAGCGCGCACCCAAAGCAAAGCCTACGCCTAAACCAAAACCAAAATCAAGCAAGGCTGCCAAGAAGGAAGAATCTGATCCAGAGTCTGAGCTTGGTGAATCGAGCGAGCTTAGTGAGTTGAGTGATCTGAGTGAAGAGGAGAAACCCCAGAAGAAGCGAAAACAAGCGGCGCCGAAGAAAGCGCCACCAAAACCCAAGTCCAAGAAGGCCGCTGTTTCAGAAGATGAGGATGAAGATGTCGCCATGGACCTTGATGCTGGAACTCTAGAAAAGGGCCAAGAGACTAAGAACGGCGGAGAAGAAAAGACACCCGCAGAAGAAACAGAGAACAAACCGATTGTTGACGAGGAAGAGGAGTATTCGGATGTGATCGATGAGCCTCCAAAGCCCAAGCGGAAGAAGAAGGAAAAGAAGGAAGGCGCAAGCAAGCCAGCAAAGGCGCCCAAGGCCGCCGTGAAAAAGAGTTCTACGTCAGACGACCCGAACACTGAAGAAATCAAGAAGCTACAAGGCCATCTTGTCAAGTGCGGTGTTCGAAAGCTCTGGCACAACGAGCTAAAACAGTATGGCGACGATGCCAAGGCCAAGATTCGCCATCTCAAAAAGATGCTCGCCGACATAGGAATGGACGGCCGCTTTTCAGAATCCAAAGCCCGCGAGATCAAGGAACGGCGCGAACTCCTCGCTGAAGTCGAGTCTGCGCAAGAAATGAGCTCTTTGTGGGGTGTTGAGGGACGCGGCCGTGCAAGTCGAAGCAAGAGCAAGAAGATCATTGAAAGCGATGCCAGTGACGCTGAGAATAATGACGGCAACGACGATGATGACGACGAGGATAACTCATATGCCGCGAGACGTAAGAGAGTGAGGGCGGATTTGGCATTCTTGGGAGATGACGATGAATCTGATTGAGGTTCGTGTATGAATGGCCCCCTATTAATCTTACGTCCACAGGTAAGCAGGCTACAACTTAGGACAACGGGATGCATCATGAGTAATTTTGTACAACACAGTATCAGCAGAGCAGTAATGATTTAACTTTGATTTCCGATTGTCTCAAATAGCAGGGCGTTAATAAGTAGCCTCTATCCAATTGATATTCTTTTCCACAGATGAATTGCCCAACTTAGTCGGACCACACCTTGTAAACGGTTCTAGCACCGTATGTCTCGCCCTTCTTGAGCAGGACCTGGTTCTTCCACTCAGGCACGTTGGCCGCGTTGACATAACGAGCAGGCTCACAGCAGAAACCAGCTCGGGCCTTGCGAGCTGGCAGACCGTTGACGGCGGGCACGTTAATACCGGCTCCAGTGTAGATCTGGAAAGTTGGCTCGGTGCTGTAGACTTCAAGGTTGATGCCGGAGCCAGAGTGGTGAGCCTTGACGTTGAGGTTTAGGGACCGGCTGCGGGTGTCGAGAGGCACAGATGAAGGATCTGTGTTGAGGACGAAACAGTGATCAATGTTGGGCTCTTGAGGCCCCAGAGTGAAAGTCTTGTTAGCGGTGACGCCAGGGAAAGACTCGATTTTGCCGGTGGGGATGAGGTCGTCGCCAACAGCGAGGTAGCTGGCGGTAGGGAGAGTCATCTCTGTGTCGGCGATGGTCTCCTTTCCACTAGGGTTGAAGTAAGAGTGGTTGGTCATGTTGATGACTGTCTCATCAGCGCCACCAACGAGCTTGGCCTCGTACTCCATTGCGAGAACAGTGACATCCTTGCCGTCGACCTTTTGTGTGCCCGTTGTGTAAGTGACAGTGACCTCTACGGTGCCGGGGTATCCCTCATCGCCATCCTCGCTAGTAAGCGTAAAAGCAACGCTCTCTCCGCCCTCCAGACCCTCAACACCAGGAACCTCACGGGTGCCAACGGGCTTGGGGCCGTCCCAGACGCGAGTGCTCCAGCCAACTCTGCCGCCGTGGAGATGGTTCTTTCCATCGTTGGCGGCAAGAATGACTTCCTTGCCATTGAGGCTGTCAATTCGAGCGTCCTTGATACGGTTGGCAACGCGGCCAACGGTCACGCCAAAGTAGGGAGAGTTATGCTTCTCATAGTCTTCTTGGGCGGGGAAGCCTTGAACGATGTTGACGCCGTTGACGACAAGAGATTGAATAATGGCGCCGAGGGGCAGGAAAGTGATTGAAGAGTCAGCCATGATGATCGTTGTCACTTTTCTGGGTCAAGTTGAGAATATAGATCTGAATGGGAGTGGAGTGGGTTATTGAGTGGTTTATATAGACAGTTGGTTGTTGAACAGAGCCAATGATGATGAGAATGAACAGGTAACTCAAAAGACAGAATCGAGGTGTGATCTGAGATGTAGCCAGTTTTATATAGGTACGTATCTGTTTGTATCTACTGTGCTGTGCTGTGTTATGCTGTATAACTCACCTAGCTAAGTATGGGATTTGGGATAAATGGGAGAGTTTGGGGGCCCATCATGATACTCCATCCCACGACTTCAGGCTAAACTGCAAATGGGGTCATGAGGCACTAGGTGCTTATTTCTATTCTATGTCGATAGGTCAATTAACTATGAGCTGTTTTTCTCTTTCTTCCTTTGAAACTTGTTGTCACGGGGGGTATTCGGCCCAGCTCGACCGAAGTGAGTGTTTGAGTGCGGGGTGTTTGTGTCATGGGTGCTGGACTTTGCTCCATCAAGATCCCATAATGAGTGGTGTGGCTATGCAGCGAATTGTTAGTCCCGGGCTTGTGGTAGTATCATGCTAGTGGTTTTAGTTATTGTTCCATATGAGGCTCAAAATAGACTATATAAGCCAACGCTTTGTTTTAGGTTGCTCTTTGATTCATATACTTACGTATTGTTATCATAGTTGAATACAGACAAACACGTTTGGCCTTTAACGACATCTACTAAGTCATGGCCGCCGTCATTATGGAGTTGGACCCATGGGTTGGTTCCACAACTGGCAGTGCATGTATGCCGGTAGCTACCTATGTAAGCAAACATCAAAAGTCAGAATCACAATAATAGGCCAATCTTGGATAGAATAGGCGAATAGTCAAATGTCAATAATGTACGTGTTGGTACCATCTTATATATATACGTGAGAAATGTACCCAAACTATACTATCAACTTTTTGTAGCTCTGAAAATGCTATCAAAAATCAAAATCGCAACAGTGGTATCTTAATGTAGTAATAAACAGAAATTCAAAATCGTTTCCCCTTCATGAGCCAGCATTTTACCATTCCAGGCGGTCGTCGCAGACCAGCTTGACATCAAATCGTTCGTTGCCCTTCCAGACCTGTCCAGCAGAGTTGCAACCGGCCACAATCGTGCGCAGGTCGCTGATCATGCCTCCGGGGCCGCTAGCAAAGACTGTCGTGGGACCGGTGATGGTGTTACCCACAAAGTCGTTGATAAGATTAGGAAGGTTGGGGTGACGGTCCTCGTCCTCAATACCTTGTCCAATCTTACGGACGGGGACATCAGTGCCGCAACCACAGCTCTCATCAATCACGTCGGATGACGAGGACGAAGATGAGGCAACTGGTCTGGAAGTATCCTTGGCTTCCTTCTCGTCTTCGACCCGGACCTTTGAGCTGGTCCTGCTGCTGACGTCTCGTGTAGCGAAGACTCGGATCTTGAGGTTGAGGGCCTTTCGGGCTTGTTGCAAAAGATCCATCTCTTGCTGAACCCACTCGGCGTCGGTGGCGTGGCGGATGGCCCAGATGAGTTCAATCTTGCGGTCTCGGGAGATAGGTGATCGGGCGAGCTCGAGGAGGACAGGGAGTACATAGGCAATACCAGTGCCACCAGCAACACAGACAATGTTGGTGTCGGGTGTAACGTGGTCCATAGTGGTCTCACCATAGGCGCCAGTGAGGATGATAGAGGTGGTGGCCGTCTCAGAGGCCTGGAACTTCTTGGCGGCCAGCGCAGCCATCTTCTTGGTTTCACCTCCTCTGGCGCGCATGATGTACGAGTGCTTCACGACGCCGTTCTCGACGTGGGGAGCATTGATGGGTGTGAAAGGGTGAGACTGCCAGATGCTGCTTTCGGTGAAGCAGAGGTAATAGTGCTGGCCAATCTTCCAAGGGTCCTGGTCGTTCTGGAGATCAAATCGCAGAATATCTCCGTGCTCCTCATCAGGGAACCTAGTGATCGTGGCTTGAGCGGCCCGGAAACCCATGTTGCCAGAGGGAAGGTGGTGGTAGTGGAGGTAGGCGGTTCGAAGGAATCGGAATCCACGGTCAATGAACCAAAGGAGGAGAGATGGCAGCAAAAAGCACTTGAGCAGTTCCCAGTGCGCCCAGCAGGCACCTATGTAGACCATGGCGAGCACATAGTGAGACTTGCGGAAGAACTCGTAGCCCGTCAGGCGAATTCCCCAGGGTGTGCTACCAACAAGCAGAAGGAGGAGCAAAATCATTGCCACGATACCCCATATCACGTATAACTGGGCAACCCACGCAGCGGCAACGTCAGGCTGAGGCTGATACAAGCGGATCTCGACAATAGACCAAGCAATGGTGTGGAGGGCACTCTGGATGAAAATAATGTAGCCCAACCAGCGGTGCATAAACATGAAGCTCTGGTAGGGAACACCGGTGATGAGAGAAAGAATAGACTCTCGGCTAGCTAGCAGGACAGATAGAGGAGTCAATGCATAAGCCAAAATGCCAACTCTGTTGGACCAAGGACCGAGAGAAGTGCGAGTATTATACACCCCAGGCATGTCCTTGACAGGAGTGATCCAAGTATGATAAGTCATGCCGACGAAGCTCCAAATAGTGAGGTAAATGATGAGAGCTGTAAGTACAACAACTTGGAAGCGAGTGGTTCGGCCAAAGATGACGCGGCAAGCGTCTGGGAGAAGGTATCGTCGAGTGAAGGAGGCGATGCTGCGACGGACCTTGGTGAGACCAGCTTTAGGACTCGCACCAGAAGCAATAGCGGGAGCTGAAGGTATGCCGATGAAACGAAGAAGTGCCCAGATGAAGACGATCCCGAGAATAGTAGCCCAGAGGATTGCGCTGTAGAGCATACCGTAGTCATGGGCGCTGTAGACGAGGTCAAGATACTCGCAAGAGCCCTTGTCGTTTGTGCAGGGAAGTGCACGATTGGCATATCCCCAGTGAGGAACAAGCGTTTGAGCTTCGCTCATGTTTTGGATGTGGCGAGCATCCAGCTCATTCAGAGCCGCTATTGCGGTGGTTGTCATGGTTGTGGTAGTTGAGCTCCTTACTGGTCCATAAGACAAGACAATATATTAGAGTAAAGGATGACCAGCAACCAACGAAAGATGGAGAGAGAGAGGAGTGATGGATGTCAAGTAAAACATCAAGCCAGAGGATGTGATAGCATTAGATAAATAGGAACCGCACCACCTTGCCGAGACCAGATAATTACCCAAGACTAACAAGGTAAAGAAGGAAAAGACTCCACCGTCCGTTAGTTGACCTAGTTGAGCATGTTTGAGGTGTTGGAAATATTGTGGACGGAATAGTTAAAGGGAACCCTTTCGGAGGGTCTTGGCCCGGAAACCAACCCATATCGAGTAAATGTTTCCTGATTACTTGCTCAATTAAAGGATTGGTCGAAAGTAGCAGAAGCAGAAGTGGTAGGGAAAAAGAAGAACCCTGAAGGTCTGATGAAGCAATTGAGGCGAAAGATTTAGAGTTGAGCAGGAATGAGCATGTTTTACCGGGATTAACAATTCAAGATCCACTAAGGACTCTAAAAGACTCCAAAAAAAGACTCCACAATGCCGCATTTCGAGACTCATCACTATCAATTCGAGCTGATTATCAACTCCCATATCTGGCCATTAAAACTATATTCGGGTCTAGCCATGACATGGAATAATATCCCCTCATTAATAACCTCCTCTTCCCGCGGCAACAGCCTCGTACATCAACCTCGTTCCTACCGTTGATATAGCTTCTCAATTCTCCGGCTTCCAATTCGATTCTCCTCTTTTCGCCCCCTCTCAAGACCAAGACTCTTGGAACCAGCTCAATCATTCTCGGTGGACCACCTCAACTCCTGGCTTATTTACTTTACTTATTATCCCGAGGACAACCACTCATTCTCTGACTCAAATCTCCATATTCCGCTCCAATTCTTTCCTGATCTGCCATTGCCAATACTTCAAGTCAGACATATTCATCAGCTGAATCACCAAATATGGACCACGGAGCTATGGGCGGCGACGGCGCGGCCTGCAAGGTCGAGGTAATGAAGCACTCAACCGGATCCCACCAATTGATATCCATCTAACAAGTCTCAGATGCTGTGGAATTGGAACACGATTGACGCGTGCTTCCTTGCATCATCTTGGCAGATTAAGAACCAAGGCATGATGGCCGCTACTTGCATCGGCGTTATCCTTTTGGTAATTCTCGTCGAGTTCTTCCGTCGTCTAGGAAAGGAATATGATGCTCTCCTTCAGCGCGGCTTCCAGCGCCAAGCTACGACTCACAGCGTTGCTCTCGCCGCCGCCGGATGCACGGGAGCAGTTGTGCCCACGCGACAGACTCTGACCTACCGAGCATCACCTCTCCAGCAGTTTATCCGCGCCTTTATCCACGCTGCTACGTTCGCAGGAGCTTACATTGTGATGCTCTTGGCCATGTACTTTAATGGCTATGTGATTATCAGCATCTTTATCGGTGCCGGCTTGGGCAAGTTCTTTTGCGACTGGCTCGTCGTGAGGATCGATTTGGAGGGTTTGGATGGCCCAGAAGACAAGTCAAAGGGAATCGAAGAGGCCACGGTGTGCTGTGGTTAGACATAAATATGGGTGGATGGATTATTTGATTGAACAGTTGAGATACACATGTCTTTTGCATCATAAGTTGTTATTTAGCGATACCCAGCAGAAGCACTTTAGAGTTGAATACTTATATTTAGGAATGATGATTACGAGACGTTCATTTAAAGTTGGTGGAAATGCACTACTAATAAGCATATATGGTATAATAGCTCTTGCCCGCATGCTGTGCTTCAGCTTTCAACTTTTCAGCCTCTTTATCAACTGATAAACCCTGCAGACCTTTAGGTAGGGCGACTAAACCTTGTTCTCGTCATACAGCCACAGTATAAGAGATATGCAAGTCAAGCAATCATGGCCATCGAAATGATGCAAGTTAGGCATGGCACATGAGATTGCAATGCTCCTGTAATGTTTCACAAAACTCGTGACATGTTTCATGATAAGTAGTTAATATAAACATTTCGGATCATATTCATTAACCCTGTTCCGCCTAAAGACAGAACAACCCGATAATTGTTGAAACGGGAGATTTGATTAGTCCTTGAACCGTTAGCCTCTGATATATCGTTCACCTACAAGATTATTATGTCACATGTGGGCCGGAACCAAGCTCAACGAGAACACAAATGTTAAGAACAACGTTGTCTAACTAGAACAGGATAGCCAATCGTTGACGATTCAAATCTAACTTGACACTGAAGCTGAGGACAAGGATGACGATCTGGTCTCGGCCAGCACCTGTTTAGTGTTGTACATAGGTAGTATGGAGTAGTATTAGACTAGCGGGGTTAGTAGTTAAAACAAACTCGAAATAACTTGCTCATATATCTCTCACATTACAGAGTCCAGAATCTAGCTCAAGCACTCGTTTCTCAAGATTGTAAATGGTGTTTATATTTCTTCAACAACTTTCCACCGTCAGGAGAAAATAGGTTGAAATTGCCAAGGGGCTGTCTTAGAAGGCCCGTGTCGGATCTGTAATTCGATAGCGGATCGAATGTTGACGACAAAAAGTCAGAGCGGCCTGGGACGAGAATGGTGGCTTCTTGCGCTCTGGTAGAATCACATTAATAAATACGTGCTCAATCCAGCTCCAGCCAACTTATGACCTGGGGTGATTTACAATAAACAGCCCCAGTCGCCGTCAGATTGACCACGCCATAGATCATCAATACACCATTAGTTGCTTACTACAAAGACCGTGTGTAGTAATAGTTATCATTCACAACGATATTTGAAGTTGTAACTATCCTCTTGATTTTTGCTTGTCTTTTCCCATCCTTCAGCGAATACCATTCCAGAATCAGTGTTCTGAACTGCCTATACTCAGCAAGCCTCCATCATGTCTTCATACTCTTCCAGTATACCAAGTTCCTTCTCAGCATCACCAACTTCAAGTTTCGCATCGCTCTCCTTCAGCAGCCAGTCCTCTTCCTCGTCAAGAGAAGGCGGAACCGTCGACGATGAAATCCGCATGATCAAAACATGGTTCTCGGTGCTAACCGACGCCGAGAGAGCATCTGCACTCGACTCCATCGCCGAACTACCAAGCCTGCGAGAAATCGAGCCCTTGATCCAAGCACTTAAGGACCGCAAGAAAGAACTGTGGAAGCAGCAACAAGAGCTCATTATTCAACCACCAGTGAAGCCCAAGTGGATCATGCCGGCGTTTCCACACAACTCCCAAGACCCTCGATGGGCAGCTAAATGGCTTCGAGCTCTGAGGCTGCATAAATATGAGCAGTGTTTGGTAGGGCTATCTCCAGCTCAGGTATCACGTCTGGAGGACGAGGGCTTGCAGAAGCTCGGTATTGACACTGTTGGTGCAAGGACCAAAATGCTTCGAGTGAGTACCCCCAGAATGTGAAGTGATGTTGCTCTAAGCCAACTAACATTGCGCGGGCAATTCAAACCAGATGAAATACCCAGTGTTCTATTTGTTTTCACTAGTACATAACCAAACGACCAACTGGCTTGGTCATGACGACAACCTTTTTATTACAACCGCCCAAGAGGCGGACATTTATTGTTGGATATTTTGGCTTAAATTAGGACTCGGTAAGGGGCAAAAGCGTTATCATCGACAATATCATAATGTTAAAGCTAGCATGTAAAGGCGAGGTTGAAGTATTCGATACCAGTTAGTGGCCTGAGATCTAGCATTAGTGGTATTTGCGTAGGTGGTTTGACTACTGGGAATTAGTGGCGTTAGGTGCCTTAGTAGGTATGAATTTGGGGGATGAAGAACATTGCACAAGCTGGCGCAAAGAGGATATCCTTCACATATTTGCCGACTGAATACCAAGGTAGATACTTATACACTATTGAGATGTGGAAATGTATATTTTATTGCTTTTTGTTAACTGCTGGTATGCTGTTGATGTCCAAAACAGTGATTAACTAGCGGTAGATCTACGATCCAATGCTCATCTAGTAGTAAATCCAACGTGACCTCAACATCTTGATGCAACGCTGAATTTACATGTGAATCACGAGGCCATTACTTACAATCGTAGTCACGCAGCAATCAGCAATCCTACCGTGATACACCTACTAATATTAGTACCTACAAGAATTCGGCCCTCAAGAGCTGTACTTGAATTATATCTCCTTTACGCTTCCCTTTTTTATCTACCCTGCAGTACCTAATTTGGTACTTACCCAAGTTAGAGTTACCAGATGAAAGCAAGTGGTGCTGCGCAACGCAACCGCGACCGGTAAGACCAAAAGCCAATAGACTCAACTTAACGCAGTACTGTACAGCCCAGTCCCATCAACTCAGCGGACCCATCCAAGGTATCTCACTCACCCGTTCATATCTACATCAATCAACTGAGGCTCGTCAACACAAACAATGAACAATGGCAACCGCGTCACCGCAAACAACTAATATGGCAAAACGCAAGCGAGGAGAAGAGTCTTGGGCATCATATACACAATTCACTTTCCAGCTTGATCCCCTATCATTTGCCTTTCCCTCCGTTTCTACTACTGCGCAGACTGAGGATGGTAGCAATAGCCCGCGGTCATGGGTCACCCACAAGTTCCGTGGGCTCGCACTGGAAAGTGGGGGCGGGGCAGCCGTCAGCAGTGAAGACACCGATAATCTCATGGAAGAGTCGATGAGGAAGCGCCAGAAGCCCGATGAGATCATGAGAGAGGCTGATATTGATGCACGCCCGACCGTGCAAGAAGTTATCGACCTCGATGGAAACTCTGTGTTGCCTTCCGACGTACCTCTGCCGAGTATAGAAAGCTGTGTTCATGTACAAGCACGGCAACCACAGCAGCAATACCTACAAAAGCAAACAGCCGGCAGCCTGCAACATGCATATCCGTCTATAAACAGGCTACCCGAATCCAAGTCAAGAATCAAGAAGAGAACAGCATCACCACCACTACGCATTAAGCGACCATCAAGACGCCCCCTTGACGACTCTGATGAAGACGAGGTCCAAATTGTCGACCCCGTCAGGGCTGCACTGACGTGGCACGAAGACGAAATCACCATCTACGACCCTGAAGACGAGGACGATGATGGTGTTGGAATCAACGGAATCGGCTTCAAACCTACCCCGGCTCTTGCACAAGCTCGTGCCAAGAAGCGGAAGCAGCAAATGGCTGAATATCGTACACGAGAAGAGAGTGATGCACGAGCTCAACGCAGCCAACGCAGAGGGTGCGGCTCAGGAGTCAAGCTTAAGTCGGAGAATCAGTCACCACCGAGAAAGGTCAGATTTACAGACACGGATGCTTCCAACATTGCCATCACTACAGGATAACGACATCATTTGGGTGCGTATTTGGGCTTGGTAGCATGGATTGGTCGGATGCTAGGGGCGGTTATAGACATTTTTTTTTTTACGGCTACGAGGCGTTTGCAATTTTATCTGATGGGAGGTGGTATCTCTATGGTCAACACACACTTTTAAACCTTTCTTGATGGTTTAGCATTGGGCGAAGCCTAACAATTGCTGGAGAACACATCAAAAGCCCTCACCAGGCCCCCTTTATACCTTACTCTTCGAGAGATCATATGGTTGGTGCAATTTGGAAGTAAACTCATCCAAGAAGCTCTGTACTTTCTCCTTTCGTCGGGGAGAATTTCATTTTTACCCTTTTTATTTTACCTACGTTCCGTAGCTATACCCAATGCACAAGAATACTCTTACACACAAATAGTACATGACAGCTTAGCTTGATGGTCACCAGATCTTGTACCATGGCTTCTCTGTCGCCTTCTTTTCAGCCTCCAACTTATTGTGCTGTCGTCTCGCCTCCTGTATCTTCCTTGCCTGCTCCTTCCTGTTCTCTGATACCACTTCGATATGTCGTTTCATCTGGCGACGTTCCTCGCGGCGCAGGTATTGACACCATTCGTACGATGCCATGCTCCCGAGCACAAAGACTCCGACAGCCCAGTTTGCAGCACTACCAGCGTTTCCTACACTTGTTTTAGACCATGTTCGTTGCTACAAGTTCTTTTGTAACCAACTGACCTTTAACAACGAACCTCAATCCTCCAATGCCAGCACCAGATGCAATTCCCGTGATGAAGCCTTGGCGAGCGCATGGGGTATTCGCAATATTGGCAAAGTCATCCTTTTTGATCATAGACACGGCCTCAGAGATAGTCGGTCGAGTATTCGTCGATGTCGCACCATTTTCGCCGTTGGTCGCGGCAGCTCCATTCTGCTCAATGGGTTTTGACCAGACATGCAGAGTCTTGTCGCCGGGCTGGGGTTGCCCTTCCTGTGGATTTGAAGCCATTCCGGGCTATATTTGCGACTCAATTGGTGACATCAAGGTTGACAATACCTTGCTAAAGTCGACTTTCTTCAACAAGCACGTGCGATTGATTGGATGGACCGATGACGCTCGACAAGCAAGGCTTGATCAGACTGATTGGTCTGTGCACGAGTCGTTGCTCTGTCGAATTTATCCATTAAACTAAAGTGGAGTCGTCGCGTCGCGAGGGCGCGTTTCAGCGCGTCTCACGCTTCCAATTTATGTACAAACCAATCTCGGTCAAGGCTTTACCTACCGTCTAGGGACGTCCTTCATTTACTTGTTCCCACAGATACGCTCCGCTCATTGTTGACTTTTCAAATCACTTTTTTTTTTCTCTCTCGACTATTTAATCTCCAATTTGTTCTTTCTCTTCTGTCTTCTAATCTCTTTCTCTTATGCCCATTGTTCACTCCTTTGCATCGTCAACAGCCCCGTCAAACCACTCTCCTTTAGGGGAGATCCCCCAACAGGACACTCTCAATGCCTAACACAAGTCTTCGCCGCCCTCAAAAGGGCTTCCGAAGAGGAGGAAAGGTTGCCTACCATGGCAACCGCACACGCACGTTCGCGGCCTCGTCCAGGAATGAAGCCACATCGGCAGATGAGAAGTGGGAGCGGACACGGTTGGCGCATAGCATCGACGAGACCATGGGCTTTGCACGCTATGAGAGCGGAAAGAAAAGAGAAGGGTGGCTGGTTAATATCCAACCCACGGCGATCGAAGACGAACGAACGCCCGGTGGCAGAGCCGCTGTTGATTGCTACTTCATCGAGGAGGACGGCTCTACCTTCAAGGCGACAGTAGAATTCGAGCCTTACTTCTTGATCGCTGTCAAGAAGGGCCGTGAGCCCGAGGTTGAGGAGTGGGCCAAGAGGGTTCCTGGAGATGGTGTAGTCAAGTCAATCCGACGGGTTGAGAAGGATGATCTCAACATGCCCAATCACTTGCTAGGCTATCGAAGGACATTCCTTGAACTCAAGTTCGCCAATGTCAACGACCTTATGGCTGCAAGGAGGGATATCATGCCCATTGCTGAAAAGAACAAGAAGAACATGAACGCCATGGATGCTTATGCCGAAGTTGCAACGTGAGTAACTTTTCAGGACCTGGTAGGACCACGCTAACAAGACACAGGCACGGGAACGGTAATTTTGACCTTTTTGACGATTCACGAGACGACGATAGAAACATGAACAGCGCACTTTCCGATGCCAGCGACTTTATTGTTGATATTAGAGAATATGATGTGCCGTACCATGTACGAGTAATGATAGATTTGGGTAAGTCTTTTTCTGTTCTGCAGTTTCTTCCTACAAGCTTTACATGATGCTTGCAACCAAGTATTTGCTACTTCAGAGCCTTTTAAGGCCATGAGACCACTATTCACCATTGCCCTGATTATTGTTTTTTACACACCTTCATTATTGCTTTGCTCTTGCTATCCACATGCTTACCAAGACAAACAGATATACGAGCAGGTACATGGTACTTTGTAGAAGCCAAACACGGCGTCACAAAGATCTACCCTAACGAAGAGAGATCACTGCCGGCGGACCCTGTGGTAATGGCGTACGATATTGAAACATCAAAACAGCCCCTTAAATTCCCTGATGCTGCCTCTGATCAGATCATCATGATCTCGTACATGATCGACGGGCAGGGATTCTTAATTACGAATCGTCAAATCCTTTCAGAGGACATTGGCGATTTCGACTACACCCCTAAGCCAGAGTATCCGGGTCCCTTCATGATTTTCAATGAGCCTGATGAAAAGTCTTTAATCGAGAGATTCTTCCTCCACATTAAGGAGGCCCGGCCAACGGTCATCGCTACTTACAACGGTGACTTTTTCGATTGGCCCTTCGTGGAAGCACGAGCTAGTATCAATGGAATCGATATGTACCAAGAGATTGGCTGGAAGAAGGACAGCGAGGACCAGTACAAGTGTGCCTACAGTGTGCACATGGACTGTTTCCATTGGGTTAACCGAGATTCTTATCTTCCCCAAGGTTCTCGTGGTTTGAAGGCTGTCACCGTTGCAAAGCTCGGATACGACCCAGACGAACTCGATCCCGAACTGATGACGCCGTATGCGACTGAACGACCCCAAACACTCGCCGAGTACTCCGTGTCAGATGCTGTTGCAACGTACTATCTTTATATGAAATATGTTCACCCCTTTATCTTCTCTCTCTGTACGATTCTGCCGCTGAGCGGTGATGAAGTTTTGAGAAAGGGAACGGGTACCCTCTGCGAAATGCTGCTGATGGTGCAAGCCTATCAGAGAGAAATTGTGCTTCCGAACAAATATATCACACCGAAGGAAGCCTTCTGGGAGGGACATCTTCTCGATTCGGAAACCTACGTTGGTGGTCACGTCGAGAGTATTGAAGCAGGAGTGTTCCGAGCTGATATCCCGGTGGACTTCGCTGTCGACCCTGGAGCCATTGACGAGCTTCTAACCGATCTTGATGCCGCTTTGAAGTTCGTGATTACCGTGGAAGAGCAAAAGAAATTCGAGGACGTGGAGAACTACGACGAAGTCAAGGCTCAGATTATCGAGAGACTCAACAAGCTCAAGGAAACGCCCAACCGTCACGAAAAGCCCTTGATCTACCATCTTGACGTTGCCTCCATGTACCCCAACATCATGACAACCAACCGATTGCAGCCCGATTCCATGATTCAGGAGTCTGACTGCGCCGCTTGCGATTTCAACCGACCTGGTAAGACTTGTGACAGGCGAATGCCTTGGGCTTGGAGAGGTGAATATATCCCTGCAAAGCGAGATGAGTACAACATGATTCGGCATGCTCTCGAGAACGAGAAGTTTCCTGGAAAATTCCCCAGCTCTCCCATGCGGCCGTTCCAGGACCTGAGTGCAGACGAACAAGCCGCTCTTGTGCGAAAACGTCTTCAACTGTATTCTCAAAAGGTCTACCACAAGATCCACGACTCAACAACCATTGTCCGAGAAGCAATCATTTGTCAACGAGAGAACCCCTTCTATATCAACACTGTACGAGACTTCCGTGATCGTCGTTATGACTATAAGGGCAAGGCAAAGGTGTGGAAGGGAAAGACATCGACTTTGCAGTCCGCTGGTGCACCTCAAAATGAGGTCGATGCCGCAAAGAAGATGATTATTTTGTACGACTCACTACAACTGGCTCACAAGGTTATTCTGAACTCTTTCTATGGATACGTCATGAGAAAGGGATCTCGTTGGTACTCACTTGACATGGCTGGCGTTACTTGTCTGACAGGTGCTCACATCATTCAAATGGCTAGACAACTTGTTGAACGGCTTGGACGACCTCTGGAGCTGGATACTGACGGTATTTGGTGTATGCTTCCAGCAACCTTCCCCGAGAACTTCGCGTTCAAGCTCAAGGGCGGAAAGAAGCTCAATATCTCATACCCTTGTGTTATGCTTAACCATCTTGTTCACGCCAAGTTTACAAATCATCAATACCAGACGCTTGTTGATCAGAAGACTCTCAAGTATGAAACACACAGCGACAACTCTATTTTCTTCGAAGTCGACGGTCCCTACAAGGCCATGGTTCTACCAACGTCAAAGGAGGAGGACAAGAATTTGAAGAAGCGATACGCTGTTTTCAACGACGATGGCAGTCTGGCTGAGTTGAAGGGTTTCGAGGTGAAGCGTCGTGGTGAGCTGAAGCTCATCAAGATCTTCCAGCAGCAGATTTTCAAGTTTTTCCTCGAAGGAGAAACACTGGCTGATTGTTATGGAGCTGTCGCAAAGGTCGCCAACCGCTGGTTGGATGTGCTGCACAGCAAGGGTACAACACTGGCAGACGAAGAGCTGATGGAGCTTATTTCTGAGAACCGAAGCATGTCCAAGACCCTGGAAGAGTATGGCAACCAAAAATCCACCAGCATTACCACCGCCAAGCGTCTTGCAGACTTCCTGGGCGAACAGATGGTCAAAGACAAGGGATTGAACTGTAAATTTATTATTTGCGCTCGGCCCAAGAACGCACCCGTCACAGAACGAGCTATCCCCGTTGCCATCTTCTCCGCGGAGGAGTCAGTCAAGCGAACGTATCTGAAGAAGTGGTTGAAGGAGGAGCCCACTGATACTGATCCTCGTGCACTCCTCGACTGGGACTATTACCTAGAGCGATTGGGCTCTGTTATTCAGAAGTTGATCACCATTCCCGCGGCCCTTCAGAAAGTCCGCAACCCTGTCCCTCGAGTGCCGCATCCCGACTGGCTTCAGAGGAGAATTAACATCAAGGACGACAAGCTCAAACAGAAGAAGCTCACTGACATGTTCAAGAAGAGCCCACTGGAGGACATCACCAACATCAACGGCGCTGGAATGGATGATGTAGAAGACTTTGGCAGTAAGCTTTTGAAGCCTAAACAAGTCAGCGCGATCATAGCATCCTCTCAGGCTGCTACTGTTCAAAAACGCAAGTCTCCAGAGCCGGCGGAGAACCCTGATCCTATGTCTGCACTTCCCCAAGTTATGCCAAGTGCTTCAGAGAATTACGAAGAGTTCCTGATGTATCAGAAACAGAAGTGGAAGATTCAAAAACAGGCCAGAATTCGCCGACGACAGTTGTTCGGTGACAGAAGAGGCGGAGCAGTCAATAACCTTCAACAGACGTTCATGAAACAGGCGCACACTACCTACATGAGTAACTGGCAGGTCTTGCATCTCAAAACAACTGAAACTCCTGGTATCGTCATGGCATATGCCTTGATCGATGCCAAGATCCACACACTCAAGGTCAACGTTCCTCGCCAAGTCTTCCTCAACCTCAAGAGTAAGGATCTGCCTGATGTTGAGGTCGATGGCTGCGAAGTCGAGCAAGTCAACTACACTTTGCCCAACGGCCACCCTTCCAGTCATCTCTTCAAGTTGACTGTATCTGAGGATATCTACTTCAACGAAAGTGAGAAATTCTCTCTGCTTTTCAACCACCCTAGCGTAGAGGGAGTTTACGAGAAGCAAGTGCCACTAAACATTCGTGCCGTTTTGCGTCTTGGAAACCAATGTACCATTGACGCATCGCAGCATGCTGTTCTCGGAAAGGGCCTCGAGCAAGGTTTCGACCTAGCAAGTCTAAAGCGGCCAGCCAAATCACGAACTTATCTCGACACCTCCCCTCTAGCTTATATCTATATCTCGCACATCACAGCAGGCGAACGCCAGATCTTTGGCATCTTCTCTACCACTAACGACCAAGCCCATGTTGTCATCCTGCAGAAGAACAAAGACTCTGGACAAGATCTCCCCAACACTACCAGGATGTACTCCGAGATGCTCGCTCGACGACATGCCGAAGCAGCTGGCACGAACTGGCAGGACTGCTTCACTTATCAAGAAAAGCTGCACATCAAGATCACGCAAGTGACTACTCGACGCAAAGCTCATCTCGAAATTAGTGATGTTGTAAAGAAGATGCGCAAGGACGAGCCGAGACCACAAATGATGGTCATCCAATCCTCTCAGCGACAGCTTCTTATTCATGATGTCCCAATCCTGGGTGAATTCCCAGTTCTCCCTCTCAAGTACGATATCGCAGACAGCTCGTTGCCACCCCTGGGCTGGCAGTCTGTTATCGCCAAACGCATTGTTGGGCATTACCTTGGTCTTGGATCGTGGATTCTGCACCTCACAGCCTTGGCTCGTTATGGCGACGTCCCTCTATGTAACCTGGAACGCGACGATCCTCGTTTCCTGATCGACATAGCTTACGCACGTCGCCTTCAGGCCAATGGTGTCGTGCTTTGGTGGTCCCCAGGCGCTCGTCCGGATCATGCTGGTTATGAAAAGGACGATCTTCTCGGTCCCCTGGATACCGTCAAGATGCCAAACATCAACAACCCCGGGACCTTCTCATCAGTCTGTATCGATCTTGATGTCCGAAACCTGGCTATTAACACCATCTTGACCTCGTCTCTCATCAACGAGCTAGAAGGCGCAGACTCAGTCTCCTTCAACCCTGCTGCTGATGATTCTGAGACACTTGCTTCCGAAAATGCTTTCGCCAATGCTGGCGTGCTTGTGCTTCGTGAGATGGTCAAGGCTTGGTGGACAGAAGCTTGCCGCGGAAGTACCATGGCTGATGTTTTGGTGCAGCATCTCGTTCGTTGGGTTGAGAATCCCGACTCCTTCATGTATGACCGAGCCCTGCACTACTATGTGCAGATGATGTCTCGCAAAGCCTTCCAGCAGCTTATGGCTGATTTCCGCCGAGTGGGGTCTCAGGTCGTTTTTGCGAACGCCAATCGCCTCATTCTTCAAACGACCAAGGCTGAAGTTGGCAATGCGTATGCGTACAGCCAGTATATCATCAAGTCCATCAAGAGCAAGCCGCTTTTCCACTTCATCGATTTGGAGATCAAAGAATACTGGGACTATCTTGTTTGGTATGATGAGTTCAATTATGGAGGAAAGGCTTGTCAAGAGGTCGTGGAGGCTGAGGAACAGACCCTTGAGACAATTATGCACTGGCAGATGGCCACTTTCTTGCCAGTCCGACTCCAGTCAACCTTCCAAGACTGGGTCATTGAGTTTATTCAACTTATGCACCAGCTCAAGAGACCTCACAATGGCGATCCTGATGCCACACCTCGCCTGACGCAGTTACCAAGTAAGGGCTTGGAAGAACATGAAGGTCAAATTATCCTGGGCAAGGCATTTGAGAAGCCTCTGAAGAAAGATATCATCGGTCTCCTTAACAGGCAGAAACGCGAGCAACTTCACCCGGAGCTTGCTGGCGACTACACATTCCCTAGCCTTCCCGGCTCTCATCTCAACCTAAGTAACCCCATCCTCGAGCTTGTTAAATCACTCATGCAAGTACTCTCCCTTGACAAGAACATCACATTGGAGGCTCGTCTCCTTCGAAAGGAACTTTTGGCTCTGTTCGAAATTCGCGAGTTCTCGAAGGAGGGCACATTTGCCAATCCATCAGAGAGTCTGCGACTTCCCCAGGTATCTTGTGACAGCTGTACCATGATGCGAGACCTGGATCTGTGCAGAGATGAGGATCTGTTTAGTGAAGGTGCCGCATGGTGTTGTGGCTTTTGCGGGACTGAGTTTGACCGTGTCGCTATAGAAGAACGATTGCTGGGCATAGTAGAGAGTTGGGTCGTTGAATGGACAACCCAGGACCTCAAGTGCGTGCGTTGCGGCGCTTTGAGAATGAACGACTTTATGGAACACTGCACTTGCAGTGGAGAGTGGAAGGAGGTAGTATCACGTCAGGACGTGAGCAAGAAACTGGGAGTCATGAAGAGAGTTGCTAAATTTTACGGGCTAAGAATGCTCAGTGATGTAGTAGAAGGATTGCATCAGGGCTTGTAAAAGGAGTTTAAGAGGATACGCATGGAACAAGGAGTTGAGAAGGCATCAAGCAAGGGAATTGCAAGGGTCACATATATATATAGATACACTTGTTTAATAGGATAATGATTCTCGATACCTCTTTCGAATGAACGAGCCCATTTATGCTAAATTCGTGCACTCCAATAAACATGCCTACTAGTTCTCTTGCGACGATTCTCATTGTCAATGCTGGTTGAGCTGAAAAGTACTGGATGTAAGCATATGTACATTTATTTTGGAAGTAATTGTGACCCAACTTCTGAAGTGTTTATTGATCACCTGTTTGAGGTTAATCACTGCAACCAGATGGCTTTTATCCGTATGAATGGTGGTAACAAGGCTGATTCGCGGAAGGTGCCATGCCGCTACTACCATGCCTGCGCATGTAATCCCCCCGCCCCCCACCTTGGCAGTAGCAGCTTGTAAGACGAAGGAAGGAAGGGAGGTGCCTTCCCAGGATAATGGTTCGCCTACACCTGCAGAGGCCGCCAGTATCTCGTCTGCAAGGCAGCCGCCTTCTGACTTGTGACCAAAGAAGAAAGACCCGAGCCCCAATCTCATTTTTCTTATAACCCCCTCTATTTCTTCTTTGTGTCTGCCCCCCTCAATTGTTGCCCCTTGACGAGGCCACGTAGTAAATCTCACTCTCGTGCACTTTTAGACAACAATGGATCATTTCAAACGTAAAGACCGCCGTGGGGCCTTTCATGTCCAGTCCAACGGTCTCGGCCCCACAGTCCGGCACGGAACTCTACCAGCAGTATCCACGCCTCCGGTTACAGCATTCTCGCCAATGCCGATGCCGATACCGATACCAAAGACCACGGCTTCATTTGATGTCCTGTCTTTTGGTTTTGAAACTCACCCAGTGCAGTTAATGCAGTCCGAGTTCACAGGCGACTACTATCGCTCTGCATCTCCTCTCAAATTAGACCTGGACTCCTATCTCAACTACGCCAATGAGCCTGACAATCGAGAAATGAGTACTATATCTAGTATAAGTGCAGACACTTTCTCTTCTACAGGTTCCATGTTTTCTTCTTCTTCAACTGATACTGGCGATACATTGACCGTCCGGAACGGTCGAGGTCGTTCCAGAGGCCCCAGTCCTTTGAGTCGCAGCGGGCGAACTAAAAGCCTTGATAATCCGACGCCTTCTTTTGTTTGTCTGGGTCCTCAGTGCCAGCTGGCTTTCTCTTCCGATAAAGAACTTAAGTCTCATGTTAAATCTTCTCACACCTATATATGTAACTGGGCTGGCTGCGATCAACCTAGTTTCTCAACTAGGGACGGTCTCATTCACCACGTTAAAGTTCAACATCTCGTCATTTGCCCATCCCCTGGCTGTACAGAAACTTCATTCCAAAGCATTCGTATTCTTCAGTCCCATATTTCTATGGCTCATCCTGAGGATGGGAAAGATGATGCAAAAGAATGGGAACTTCCAACGAAAGCTGCCGATAACACGAAGAAAGGCGACAGGTCGTCTTCAAGCAAAACACCCGTTGAAACTATTACATCGCGGAAAAGAAAGAGTTGCGATCCTGAGGCAGAAATGGCTTTAGGCTTGTCTCGATCAAAACGTCAGTGCCTGGATCGACTCCGCGGTGTTGTTGAGAAGCGAGCCAGAAAGAGTGCAGGTGAGTGTCTTGAATATCTTCCCCCTAGCATATCATCACGCCACGCTTTCTTCAAATGATCAGCCCGTGTGAACGGCCGTAAGCTAACGATGCAAAGGTACACCACGAAGTGCAGAGAGCCCTACAGACCTTATTCGAGGACGAGCGTCACGGCGTATAGAAACAACAAGTTTTCCGCTGGTGTTCGAGCATGCCATACTCCCTTTCTTGTCACAGTATCTACCCCTTTGGGTCGGACCCCGCCACGTGGTGACTGTCACTCGAGGCAAATCACCACAGATGAAACGAATTTGTATCATGGCTCCAAACAAAATCTCTCGGGCTCGCAAGGTTCTAATCGTGAGCCACGTTCAAGACCTTATTCCAGCCAACTTCTCAACACTTATCACTTTCGTATTCGCACAAGGGGAAATAAACAGAACCGTGACCTGGGCTCGTGGCCTAAGCAAAGACCACAAGGACGATATCTGCTCTGCCCGAAACCCTTATTTTTTCCGTGATCCTTGTATGGGCGATAGTATCGGCGTTGCAGGAAACGGTGCATTCGACGATAGTACGGCTACACTCGGTCCTTGTATAACTGTCGGTGGTGGGAGTTACTGGCTGGGTAACTTCCATCCTTTCTTGGAGGCATACCAAAAACTTCCACAAGAAGTGCAGGTCGAGCATCCTTCCTCTCAAGATCGCAAGCGGTGTGTAGAGGAGGGGCACGATGCCATGGCGCAAGAGACAAGTTTCGGACTCGGCAGACTTGAGGTAACATCGGGACTCAACCTCAAGACAACAAGAGTCTCACACGATCCCTACTGGGACGACTGTGATATGGACAAGCCGCTTGTTGTGACAGACTGGGCTCTTATCGGTTCTCGCACTTCACAGGCAAACATTCTCCGGCGGTTTCCTTCGGAGACTCTGCCACCAACTCAAGACCCTATCGTGGCTACCACAACGGCTATCACGCCAGGCGCTGACGTTCTGTCCAGTGGTCGAACATCTGGATACCAACGAGGACAGATCTGCGAGATCCCTGCATATGTTTCAGGTGACGAGAATCAAACCCTCAAAGCTACTAGAGAATGGTTTATCGAAGAGCCGTGGCCGCAGGATGATGAGGATGCCTGGATTCGCGGTGGCATTGGTGTTAACGGCGATAGCGGTGCAGGTGTCGTGGACGCCAACACTCACAGCCTCATCGGACAAATATGGGGTCGCAATAACTATTGGGGACCTGGACAGCGTGTCACCTACTTCACTCCCATCGCAGACATCTTCGACGACATTCAGGAAAAATGCGGGCAGGAGTCACGTCCTAGGCTTCCGCAGCATCGCGATGAAGCAAATTGTTTCCCATTGCATCCGTCATGCCGTCAATGCTTTGATCTACGAGCATACCTCAATAGCAGTAGAAGAAGTTCACGAATGTCGCTTCAAAGTATGATAATGGGCATAGGTGACGGTGACCAGGATCTCACCTCGATCGAGGCAGTTTCAGAGCTAGCTACACCAAGGGATTATCACCGCTATCCGGGAATAGAAGAGGCAGGTGCTTCTTTCAATGACATCGTCTCGCCAGCAGGGCCGAGTGGTTATCCCGGCACTCCTATGATCGCTGACATGAGGAGCCCATATGCCACAGAATTGGATCTTGAGGATTTATGGGAGCCAAAGGCTGGGAGCTCTACTCGAGCTCGAAAGAGAACATCCAGTTTTGCTGTAGACACGGGGCCAGAAAGGTGGAAGAGGCTGAGAGCTGATGGTTGAGACTATCCCGCGAAGCCCCCTCGCGCCATCTTCTTAGCTCGAGCATCACGGCGGTTGTGATTTGCCTGAGATCCCTTATTTGCCTCTTTATTCTTCCTGGCCGATTCTGTTTCCTTCTCACCAGTAGGTCCTGCGACATTGCCTCCTCTACCGCGACCACGCCCTCGGCCTCGGCCGCGGCCACCACCTCTACCACCCCTGGATGACCCGCCATCAGGATCACTTCCTTCTTCTCCTGATCCAGCTGGTGATGCTCGCCAAGAAGTGCGCTCTATTTGCGCCTGCTGTCCACTGAAGGCATACTTTGCTTCCAGTCGCCGCTTCTGCTGCGGGTTTCTCACAAGTATGAGAGCCCATCCCTCGATTGCTTCGTCGGTCATGCCAGTATCTTGTCTGAGCTTGGCTCGTGGACTGCCACGTCTTGTCGCGGCATCCCGATCGAACAGCTTAGAGTCCATCTGGTAGGCGCGGAAGAGTGCTTCTTCGTTACCGTCACTCGCCGCATCAGCTTCCTGGTTGGATGCATCAACGGTACCTCCCACATCATCAGCATCGTAAGTATCGTCACGTTCGTCATCATCAGAATCGAATGCTGCCAAGGCAGAGAGAATGGCCGATTTGTTCGGTGCGTTTTCTTTGTCTTTGAGCATGTCGTCGGCGTTTTTGCCGGGTTTCTTTCCAAAAGAGACCTTGGATACATCCATTGCGAGTCGGTCGAAATCATCATCATCAAACACATTATGTCGTGTAGGAACTTGGGGTGGAGTAGGTCGTGGTGCAAGATCTGTGTGTCTATTTTCCGGATGCGAAGACCTAGTCATGGTTAGCTGGGAATCGGCTAGATGGCAAGATGCATCATACAAGGGTTCGCTGCGGTCCGCGTTGGACAAGTGAGGCGGTAAAGTCTCACTTAGCAGGTTCGCAACGACTTGTTCCACATCCTCCCCGTATTCATCAAGACATTTGGATACAAAGCCAGGTCCAAGGTCAGGAAATAGATCCTGCACCTGCGTAATCTGACTCATCCGGTGAACGTGCATGTCAGCATCCGCTTCCTGCTGTGTCTCCTTTCCCTTTCCTTTGTCGACTTTTCGTCGCACCAGTCGTTTGGGACGAACCATTGCACCCTTTCTGTAGGTCTCGAGTGCTGTGATTCTTTTCTTGAAGTTATCCGTTGCTGCTCCGGAATCTTCTGCCCTTCTCAGTAGAATCTTTAGTAGTGGAGTGTTGGTGATAAGTTCAGGGACAAGAGAGTCGTTGACATTGAGGGGCCCGGCCTTGTGGGCATCAGCCGCTTCCTTGAGAGCATAGAGTTGGTCGCTCAGCATAGACCACTTGGCTGGCTCGGCATCTATGAGCCCTATAAGACATAGATAGGTGGTTGTCAATATCACCTTCCGTAAAGGTGGGTTCATAACTCGAAAGCACACAATAAGGGCGTCGAGGAAATCGGATCCCGCAAGAAATAAGGTGCAGGCATCTGGTGAGGCATGCAGAAGGTGATTTAGTCGTATCAGGCGGGCCTCAACTATCTTCAGATCTCCCTTGATACCAGCCTCCAGCTGGGGGATAAGTTGTTTCTTTAGCCCAGTAAGACTCGCCTCTGTCGGGACAGTACGCTGCTGAAAGAGTTGGGCAATAAGAGGCGCCGTGGCTTTCCGGGGGAATATCCTCGCAATATTTGCCAAGAATTCATAGTCGAAGAGTTGCGTAGGCGGAGACACAGAATAAACTCGTGAAGTGAGTTGGAAGACAGCTTTAGGTAGTGTCGTTGAGTAAGATTCTAGGATTGTGAAGCCTGCCTCTGCTGTCTCTTCTGCAAAAGAGGAGAGAAACGTTGGGGTAGAGTCATCGCGAGATAAAGATGCCTTGAGGTCCTTTTCGGGGAGTGCGACAAGAGCACGGCAGATTGACGTCCAGGCTTGAAGAAGCGAATTCCACTCGTTAGAAGAGAGGTGTTGTCGCCATGATGATTTGGGGAAGGATGCGAGGGGCGGTAAAGATACCATCTTTATTGAGAGGGATGGTTCTCGATGTTTATGTACAATCAGAAAATTGGTGTATTTGACTTGTGGGTTTTGAGTCAAGGAGGAGCTGTTCTTATAAACTGTTGCTCATTGACACCACAAGAATCCGTATCGTGGCTCAAGCGTTTGCATCGCCGGATGATTCATCAGAAAGTGGATTCTCACTGCCTGCAAGCTGATGGATGAAGTCAACTTGGCGATCGAATGACCGGCCAATCAACGTGCCATAAGCTTAAGCACTAATCCATACATGGCTTGGGTCATAAAGACAGAAGGAGCTGCCCTGGTCGTTAGTGCCGCAAATCAACACCAAAGCTAATGGAAGTAGGAAGCAATTAGAGATGATCTCACTTTAATCCACCTGCCTCATTTTGAGATTCTCTATTTATATGTACCTAGAAGAGATTGATCTGGATTATTGAAATCTCAGTCAGTTACTCGCAAGCTCAGCTTGGTCACATCCATAAAAGAAAAACATCACCAAAAGCAATAAGCAAGTACTCCAAACTTGGCTTTGGTTGTATGTTTTTGTTGAAATACGGTTTGATCTAATCCTATACAACAACCCTTCCTGTTCATACACAACGCCAGTAGATGCTCAGAGCCCAAAACTTCTTGAATAATCTAACGCCTTTCCTCGCTCCAACTCTTCTTCTCTCTCATCATATATAACACGCTCAGTGAGGTGACTCCTCATTCTCTTGCTGTGGTAACTTAAAAATCCCACAACGTACATTCCCGTGGTGGCGGTAACTCGGGCATCAAGCCGTCCTGGAAGGTACCTGTCTGGGCAAAAGCCATCCATTGAGCTTTAGACTTGTCATCATACTTCTCCGAAGGCAATTCCGTATCCGCTGAGTATCCTGGTGGTCCATCTGGAAACCACACCCGCCGCCATGATCCATCAAATTCCTGAATTCCGGGCTTACCATCCTTGTACACAACAGATTTGCCCTTGAACATGGTGAGTCGTCCATTCATATCCTTGGAGCTGTAGCTTTCGACTGGCGGGTGCTGTCGGGTACTGTTGGGTGGATATGGGCTCCCTGAGGGAGCGCCTGCTGGCGGGCCTGCTGACGGCAGTTGCGACGCGAATGGATTCGAGGAGGTTTGCGTAGGGTTTGAAGGTTGACCGAAGGGGTTTGCTGCTGGCTGAGAAGGCTTGCCAAATGGATTGTTGGCTTGCGGTTGGTTGTTCTGTGACGAAAACCCATTGGCCTGGGGTTGCGAGGGTTGTCCAAAGGGATTGTTCGCATTTTGGGTCGGCGTAGCATTAGAGGCACCAAACGGATTAGATGCTGCTGGCCCCGCAGCATTTGATGGCTGTCCAAAGGGCGACGTCCCTTGCGCAGGTTGAGAAGGTTTCCCGAACGGGCTCGCTCCAGCATTATTCTGGTTATTGTTATTCGCTCCAAAGGGGTTGGCATTCTGGTTGTTCGCTGTACCAGCACTGGGAGCACCAAAAGGATTCGCTGCAGGCGCACTGTTGTTGGCAGCGTTTCCAAAGGGACTAGAGTTATTGTTTGTTCCACTTGGAGCTCCAAAGGGGTTTGGCTTTGCACCAAGTTGGCTGGCTTGTCCAAAAGCGCTGCCTCCTGCGTTAAGCTGCGACGGTTGGCCAAACGCACTGCCCTGTGCGTTCGGTTGCGATGGTTGACCGAAAACGCTGCCTTGTGCATTTGGTTGTGACGGTTGACCGAAAACACTACCTTGCGCATTGGGCTGGGAAGGCTGCCCGAACGCCGGTGTACCAAAAGCGCTGGGCTTCGCACCTAGCGTTGAAGGTTGTCCGAAAGCTGAGGGTTGAGCGGGTTGTCCGAACGCTGATCCAGACTGTCCCAATTGCGAGGGCTGTCCAAACGCTGATGGCTGCGCAGGCTGACCAAAAGCAGAGCCTCCCTGAGCTGGCTGTGACGGTTGACCAAATGCTGGAGCTCCAAAGGCGCTTGGTTTCGCACCCAGAGCTGAGGGTTGTCCGAAAGCACTTACGCCGGTCGATGCGCCGCCGCCAAAAGGAGATGCATCGTTGTTGTTGTTGTTCGCTCCGAATGGATTTGGCTGCGCTCCCGTGTCGGCAATGGTAGATTTCGGTCGTTTTCCGACAAGGAATTCTTCAAAAGGAGCTCCCTGTGTTCCTTCTCTGCAAATATCGTGTCGATTTGGGTGGTTGTTCTCGGCGCTGACCATAAACTCGACGGCTCCCTTAACATCGCGGAGGGCGGTTTGCATTTGTTGCTGCGCGTTCGCGTACAGCTCTTGCGCTTCGTTCAACTACAGTCGCATCACGGATTAGCTTTGGGGCGTTCCATATAAAGAGAGCGATTGACTAGGTGCTCACAACTTGCTGCTCGTTTCCTGAAGCCTTGCCCATCATAAAGTGCAGCCGCAACTCCTCAAAACTCTGTTCGCGTGGGAACCCGCCAAAGAGCTGCCCAGGAGCGTCTCTCCCTGGCGCATAGGCTGAAAGGATCCATTGCGGTACCTCGGTCGTCAAATCTTTTTCGATGGTATCGGCGTTGATATTGTATTTTTCTGTTAAGCTGTCAATTATTTCCGTTCTTGTCACATTTGAACGCCCTTCGTACCAGCTGGGCTCTGGTTGTTGCCTCCTCCTAGAGCTCCAAAGCGGTTTTGATCGTTTGGGTTGATGTGCTCGTTACGACACCTATCTGTAGATCAATTAGCATGGTTAAGACAGAGATAAAGACTCATTTAGAGTGAGGAAGCCATACTGCCAAACTTGCAGTTTCCCTGTTGAAAGAATTTGCAAACCGTCATCTTGATGGATGATTGAATGTGCTATCGTGGTTAGATTTTGGAGTAGAAACTTTGACACTATCAGCCAAAGTCGCCGTATGAGAGACTACCTCATGACGTTGAGGGTATTTTAGCACCAATGGCGGGAGTTTGTTCGTTGTATTTAGAAGAGTTCTTGTCAAGGAGTGAACAGAAGAAGAATGTGGTTGAAGAGAGTGTAAAACAAAGAAAGCTTAGACAGTTGATGGACCTTGCAGCCTTTCCCAGCCTCGCTGGGGCCGTCGGGTTTTTGCGAACGCGGTAAGCTCTCGCTACCTGCATCCATTCAATATTACAGTGGGGCTTGATGTACGCTAAAGTGCCTGTCCCTGAACCTCAGCCTATCCATTGTTCAACTATTGGATTCCCATTAAAATCTAATACAACGAGTACCCCAAGCATACAGCGTTTATTGTTTATTTTCATCAAGTAACAATAGAATTTGTTTTCAATTTTGTTTGATTCATTCTTATCTTATCTCTTGTTTAACCCATTTTGTCATAAGATTTGTTTGTCCCTTGTACAGAGTCCCTAAACAACAACTTTCCTATGCTCGTCGCCATAGTAGATTCAACCACATTTCATATTTTCCTTCTTTTTTTCTCACCTCAATTATGATGAGATGTGATCAGCTTTTCGAAACTCAATCATCGGTCCGTTCTTCGCACTGGTAAATATATCAACCAGCTGCATCTCACCAGGTCGGTGTCGACCCCATTCATTCTTGGGGTTGCCCTCAGCAGGATCAACGATACCGATAGCCTTGCGCATATCATAGATATACATGGTACGAGCGAGAGTGTTGGTCATTTCAACATAGGCAAGACCCTTGCCGATGCAACCACGAGGTCCAACACTGAAGGGACAGTACGCGCTAGCAGCCAGCGCAACCTCCTCCTCGGTTGTGTTTTGACCAGTGAGGGGGTTGAGAGCACCCACGAGCCATCGCTCGGGCACGTACTCATATGGAGAGGGGAAATAGGACTCGTTGTGGTGGATGGTGTAGTGAGAAACGCCAACGACAGTGCCCTCGGGAATGGCACGGCCCTCGATGGTCATGCCTCCAGAGAGAACCTCACGGGGGAGGATACCACCAACCGATGGGGACAGTCGCATAGCTTCATCAATACAGGCGCGGAGGTAGGTGCAAGATGCAAGGGTAGCGCCCTGGCAGATTTCTTCGGCGTCGTTGAACTTGCTTCGGATTTCTTCGGTGACTCTCTTGAGAGCGCGGGGACAACGGACGAGGTAGAAGAGGGTGGCAGCCATGGCAGTAGAAGTAGTGTCGGAACCAGCAATGATACTATCCAGAGTTTAGTTGGGGCTTTTTATTGGTGGCGCATATCACTTACAGAAGGTTGGATTCAGACCAAAGCTCAGGAGTGCTGAAACCCTGGCCAGTTTCGGGATCGCGAGCCTTGAGGAGGTAGTAGAAGAAGTCGCGACGGTCAGTCTCCTCACCAAGCTTGGTGCGCTCAGTAAGTTGACCTTTGCTGTAACCCATATAACGAGCACGTCCAGCAGCAAGTCCGGGGAAGAGGATCTTGTCCAGGTTCAGCTTGTTGACAATAGGCATAGTGCCACACTAAGGCCAATCAGCTTCAGATCTCGTATGATTCTCTATGATGCACTTACAAGAAGGTGGCGCGTAGTAGCGGCTTCAACGAGCTCCAGAGCGAAACGGTTGGTTGGGCTCTCCAGCATGTGGAAGGCCTTACCGAAACACAAATCACCAAGAATATCCATAGCAAGGTAATTGCACCAATCGCTCATCTTGCGAGGCTTAGTCCAGCCCTTGGTGTCCTCGCCGGAGCCCTCCATCATACCGATCTGCTCGCAGAAAGTGCGAACATTGCCGAGGATGTATCGCTGCATCTCCTTCATGGCACTCTCGGAGAAAGCCTGAGACATGACACGGCGCTTGCGGGCGTGGACCTCCTTGTCGCGAGTGTTGTGTGTGTTGGCAGTGGGATGAACAAAGGCATTGTAGAACTCGGCCTTGCGGACGTTTGAGCGGAAGCCGTAGATCTCCTTGAGAGCCTTGTTGGAGTTGAAGCAGATCGAGTTAGGGCCAAAGCGGACGACAGGGCCGTATTTTTGGTGCATGCGCCAGAACTCGACCTGTCTGTCGCCCTTCCAGGCGTGGTAGAGCTGGTAGCCATCTGTGATCTTGGCGATAAAAGGACCCGGGTACCTGGCTAGAGGGTGGAAGAAGACTCGGTAGACGACAATACTGAAGCCCTGGAGAAACGTGTTAGTCTCCAGGTTTGGTATGAAGTGTGAGAGGTTTCACTTACATAGAATAGACCTCCTCCTACCAACAACCCCAGGTATATCCACACATGTGTTAGGTCGACTGTCATGTTGCCTGTCTTATTCATACACAAGCAGAGTCTTGGGAATGAATAGATAGAAGGGTAGGCAATGAACCAGAAAGAGACGGAAGGCCCGGGGAGTTAAATAGTATTGCATATAGCCCTTATCAACAAGGCAAAGCAAGCTCGTAAGCTGCAAGCAGCCCCATGACCACCCTCTCTCTCGTTTCTCGTCTAGCTCCTCATGCCCCATCCTCCCATTCTTTCGTTGACTCCATGACCAGGCTGACGCTCTTAATCGGCTGGCGGCGGCACACAAAGCTTGTCAGTATTCACAAGCTCGTTTGAAGTGGAAGGTGGAGGGGGTGTAAACATCCAAAGTCTTGTCTGCGGCTAAGTTCGGATTGCAAATAGCGGGACGGCATTGGATAGATCGCGGAGAAATTGAGAACCGCCCGCGAGATTGCGGGGGAAGTTTTTAAATACATGGATGTAAGAAGCGCCAGATTGTTGTGTGGGGTTTCTGGAGTTGGGGAATTTTGTTATGATTTAGATGCTAGTCAAGCTTAACAACCGCAACGCCCGTTGGCTTACGACAACAATGCTGAAAACATCACCGTTAGTCCAGCCTCGATGATACATTACAGAGGTCACCTGCCCAATATCTGACTTTACTAATTGAAGTGCGGTGAGACGTCAATCGATCTTCCATACCATAACAAGTCAAGCCAACGTCTACATGCCGTCATTTCTCTCATAAACAAAATAGAAATCGTCAACCATTGTCCCCATCTTTGTTCTCCAACTCGGTGCTGCTATGTGGCCCGAACCTATGCTAATCTTTGATATGGCTTAACCAGCGGTCCTTTTCCCGCACTACGGAATCTTACGAAGCCAGCAGGTGCAGAACAAGCTTGTCCTCCACATCAAGCCCGATGATGACCGCGGCGCTGTGGGTACTCGGAGTCCCGCGAGTGGGTACGGAAATATTCACACTCGGAGTGGGTACGGAAAACTGCTGCATACAGACCAAATCCAGGTTTAACGACAGGTTCTTTCGAGACAACATTGGCAAGAATGGATACGATAGGGTAATAATTTCTCTCTAGTTTGTTGGTCAGCCGCTGACCATATTCTAGGGTTAAGACTGGCTGTAATTCATGTGATGCTCGTTGCAACACTGTTATCTAACTGTAACTGTCTTGTGTTTGTGTATTCCCCACACTCTCACTCTCATGGCTGAGAAGCAAACATGAGAACAATGTCGAACCCAAAAGCCACACACCAACGCCATATCATTCATGCAAGTGAGACCGATCTACAATGCCACCCATTAGACACCAAATAACGATATGCAGGCCACGACTCCATACGCACTCAGACGGTTCGATTATTCCCCAATTGCATAATCCCTACCCTGTAACCACTACCTACCTGTCTAGTAGCTTATTCTTCAAACAACAACGTTGTACCATAGAACCACAGCGCAATCAAGATACATATAACGCAACAGGGATATATATTGTACGCACTAACATTAAGCTCATAGACTTTGCCACCGTACATTATTCATTACCCAAATTTCCCCAGCCCATTAACTCCCCAACGGTACAAAGTGTCCCTTTGATACACAGCATTAACGACAAATCAGTACCGCACTGCTGACACTCTCGAACCACAATGCGCAGCCTTCTTAATTATAATACCTTGGCTCATTGAAGACATGGTATCGGTGTTGTCGTACACCATCACCCCGGAACATGGCAGGGAATCTCCATCCCTCAGGCACGTCCTTTTCCTGAACACGACGGTTGCGCTCCTTGTCCGACTGGGCTTCCAGCTTTGCAATCTCCTCTTTCGACTCAGGGATCTTGAACTTAGCAACTTGAAGCTCAGTATCTGTGATCGAGCTGCGACTGACACGGGCATATCCTACACGCTTGAGACGCTTGAAAAGAATATATTCGCACCATCGGTCCCAGTCTGAGGGGTCTACGTCTTTCATACCCGACGTGTCGCTTACGTAGGTGTTGTAGTTGCCCTCCTTTGGCTTTGTTACCAGGTAACTAAGCAAGAATGCTGGGCGAGGGGTTGAGCCCATGAGCTCGGCGAGATATAGAGACTGTAGACGTCGATCTTCAGGATCTTCTTCCTGCCCAGAGTGGAAGACAAACACATCCACAAACTGGCCATAAACATCTAGTGTAGCATGAATGGCAGGGGCCAGCTCACCAACAGGACTGGGTAGAAGGTGATGCGTCGAGTTCAAGATGGGGAATTTGGATAGCAGAGCAGCTCCCCAGGTGTGCTTATTGGGGCCAGGACCATAGTCGACGTACATACCAAGATCCTCAGCAAGGAATTGTGTAGCATCACGGTTACCCATGATGATACGTTGGTTGTCGGACTCCAGAAGGCCAATCACATCAATCTCCAATTCCTTGATAAGATCTCGCATGCGATACTCTGACGCCCACATATCATTGTCGAATGAGAAGTGGATCGTCCAGATACCAGCAGTGAGGATACGATCCTCACCGTGATAAGGCTGGTGGTTGTTAGCGGGAAAGCGCTGGAAAGCCGAGATAAGGAACATAATGTTTATTATGATGGTTGAGACTCCGAATAGCTTCCTTTGCTGAGTTGGCAGAGATCGCTTTGGAGTTT